AGGTCTGATCTCCAAAATATACAAAGAACTCAAGAAATTGATCATCAAAAGAATAAATAATCCAATAAAAATGGAGTGCACACCTAAACAGAGAACTCTCAACAGAGAAATCTAAAATGGCTGAGAGACACTTAAGAAAATGTTCAACATCCTTAGCCATCAGAGAAATGCAAATCAAAACAACTCTGAGATTCCATATTACACCTGTAAAAAACATCAATGACAACTTATGCTGGAGAGGATGTGGAGTAAGGGGAACACTCTTCCATTGCTGTTGGTACTTTCGATATCAGTAAGGCAATTTCTTAGAAAATTAGGAAACAACCTTCCTCAAGACCCAGCAATACCACTTTTGGGTATATACCCAAAGGATACTCAACTGTGCCACAAGGACATGGCTCAGCTAAGTTCATAACAGCATGGTTTGTCACAGCCAGAACCTGGAAACAACCTAAATGCCCCTTGACTGAAGAATGAATAAGGAAAATGTGGTACATTTACACAATGGAGTACTACACAGTAGAAAAAAATAATGACATCTTGAAATTTGCAGGCAAATGGGTGAAGCCAGAAAACATCATTTTGAGTAAGGTAACCTAGACCCAGAAAGTCAATTATCATATGTATTCACTCATAAGTGGTTTTTAAACATAAAACAAAAGAAAACAAGCCTACAAATCACAACCCCAGAGAACCTAGACAACAATGAGGAACCTAAGAGAGACATACATGGATTTAATCTACATGGGAAAAAGAAAAAGACAAGATCTCCTGAGTAAATTGGGAGCATGGGGACCTTGGGAGAGGGTTGAAGGGGAGGGGAGAGGCAGGGAGGGGAGCAGAGAAAAATGGAGAGCTCAATAAAAATCAATAAAAAAAACACAAAAATCTGTCCATCAATAAACTTCTCTTAACTACATTTCCTACATGTGAATATTGCATTTAATATATTAAAATTATTATCTTAATGTATTGCAGCCATTTCTATTGTTCAGACTTGGCTTTTGTTTTACTCTCACCATAGTAAGGAAGGCTTTAGATAATGTAGCAAACACGTATGACAAAGAGTCTATTTTCTTTCTCATTCAGTCTTGCTCTTTAAAATGCTAACCTTGACGCATTACATTGATCTCCTGACCTTCAATGGCTTACAGCCCATAATGTGGAAAACACTATATGGTATGAACAGACAATACTGGAAAATATACATAGTGACATACACTTGATTTTCATGCAGTCTTTCTAAGATTCTTTTCCTTCTAGTACTGCATCCAAAAACGTCTCAACCCATGCAACTGTCAGCTGCCTTTATTGTCATCCTCTTCCTCCCTCCCCCTCCTCCTTCCTCTTCTTCACTCAGAAGCCAAGGATGAGGAGAGACAGTAAAAAGAAAATGTTCTTGCATATGTACTTGCATATACACAGGGCCCATCTCTGGGGGGCTCAGAAAAATCCTTTCTCAAGGGTGTGGCTCAAGTCTGCCCTGCGGCCTATCTACCCAGCTGTCTGTGCCTGTATCACAAGTGATCTCATATGGCGTTTAACTCCGAGGCTCAGGTCTAACTTCAAACTTACTGTTTCCACACAGGTCCTTTAAGGGAACCCACCAAGCCTAAACCTGGCTGTCTATCTTCATAAAATGAACACCCAGGCAGCAGCTCTGCTGTTGCAGATTAGATGAGAGAGGTGAGCCTAGATTTTAGCCCGCCCTCTTGTGTTACCCTATATCCAAAGTGTGTACTGCAAGATGACACATGAGGAAACTTAGAGAGGAAGAAGGAAGAGCAAGCTGGCTTAATTCATACATGTGCCATGGCCTGGAATCCCCCTCCCCACACCGGTGCAGATAAGTGTCCAAGAGACAGCCATTGGAGGCATGAATGAATGAACGAACGAACGAACGAACAATGAACCCAATCACAGCACAGACGAAGCATACTCACAAGAAGCCAGCTCTAAAAAGTCCCAGCTGGACCTCTGCGGTGCTCCTGCCAGACACATATCATCTCGGGTCTAGTCTTTATCACTATTCTGGGTGTGGGGATGCTCACCTAGCCCTTGGGTGGGAAACGAAGAGGGTCACCTCAACTGGGAACACTACAGGAAATCCAGTTTCCTCCAAGTTCCTCAGTGATCCCAGTTCTGGTCTGAAGTGGAGTCCTCAAACTACCCAAGGGTCTTTCCAGAGGGCTTTAATTAAAACCTCATTTATACTGCAAAATGCACACCAGCTAGGGATGGAGCCTTCTAAACAGGGGTGTTACTCTTAGAGGGCCACTGAGTTCCAGGTTAAATGAATGGTACGAGTGAGCCTGTTACCCCTGGGTGACATGCATGCACCTTCCATGTCTTGATTTCTGAGGTTTTCTACCTGGGCTGGTGAAGAACTGGGCTCACAGAATCCCAAAGAGAGATAAAGAAGGCATATGAAAGACTGGCTTTGGGCTTCGGTGATCACAATACACTGGGGCTGGTCATTCCAATTAAGACTACAGAAATGAACATGACTGTCACCTCTGGACGGAAGAGACATGGACAGAGAAGGATGAGGGAATACATGACGTATATGCAGGATGCTCTGAGTTCAGATTCATTCCTCTGCCTCCTCTCTTGAGGTACCAAATTTGGAGGAAGAACCCTCTAACCTATGTACATCCGAGCCATCAGACTCAAAAGTAAACCTTCTAGCATCTGCAATAGAAAAGCGCCCACTACAGTTGTCCAAGACCACACTAACAGAGGAAGTGCATCCAGAACCAAGAGTTACCCTAGGATCAGCAAAGTGGGCTGAGTGGTGGTCTCTCCTGATACACATCATGTGGCCGGGCACTGTGGTGCACAACTCTGATCCTAATACGGGGGAGGATGAGGCAGGAGGAGTGCCGTGGGGCGTGGTGCATGGGGCACATTAGAACAAGTGCAGTCACATAGCCAAGGCCTGTATTAATCAATCCAAATGACACCAACAACACCTCCCCCACACATGCACACACACACACATAAGAACACACACACAGATGCACGCACACATGCACAAACACACGCACACATATGAAACATTTGCACACACATGAACACATGCACACACACGAACACATGCACACACTTATGCACATACACACACAAGCTAGAGCTTGTATCAGTATTACTTTTACACAGCAAATGATACAGCTAAGCATCTAAAGACAGCATATCGATATCTAAATGAACCTGAAATGAAAGCGTATGTATCCTTACAAAAGTGATGAGAAGCAACTCTGGGGACAGATACGCAATGGAAGGTGACATGATGGTGCAGAATCATGAAAATAAACTTGAGGAAGGGAGACTTCAAGTTGCTGCAGTAGGAATGGTCGAAGGCCAGGACTTAGATTCCTGATCTTACTACAGGTCAAACAGTGCAGGGCACACAAGCAAGTAGCAAGGTGACCCCCACTCTGGATTTAACAAGAGACCTTCAAGAGCACAGAGAAAAAGGCCCCATCATCACAGGATTAGGGCCATGAGAAAGTGCTGTCTGCACAGGGGCCAGAGGCTCGAGGGGGAGCCCCCAGTGAAAGCATCAATGCTTCTTTCTCTTGTGAGTTGGGTTTCCTGAGAGTGAACTCGTAGGTGAGGTAGAGGTAGGCGTAAGTCAAGCAAGGGAGATTTGTCCTATATTATCTGCCAGGGAGAAGGGACATCTCTAGCACGCGAAGGTTTAACTCGGTGTTGAGAACATGGCATGAAGCCAGGTCTCCACTGAAGTTCCTCCAATTCCCCCCTCTACCAACTGTTGCCTTGGACAAGATATATTGTATTTCTCAATTCATTGTTAGAAATAAGGCAGAGGCCAGCAGGGGAGTCTTCCACTGGTGGTGGTAGGATTAATGAGAAACGGGCAGGGACAACTCGGCACACTGCCATCAGTAGCACACAGTGTTCTTATTTCTGTTCTCAAAGGTCAGTCAGGCCCTGCATAGAGAATACAGTAGGGAAGGGTGGTCAGAAATTCCCTTACCAGACTACAAAGCAGGGCAGAAACAAAATACAGAAAATTCACACACAGATAGCTCATGCAGAGCAGGCTTTCTCAAAGTTCTTGACCCAACATCCCGGTGTTCTTAAGAGTGAGCCACATGAAGGACTTCTGGGGTAGCTGAAACTGCCACCCTCAGAAGGCACAGAGATGCTAGACACGCGAACAACAAATAACCCAGCCACTCAACAGCGAGAAGAGACACCTAGGGAACCACAGAAAGATCTTCTCTGCAACCCTCCTCAGTGATGGTGGCCAACTTGAAGTCATTCTAGGAGTTAACCCAGAACATGGGTCCCCTGAACAGGAAGACCCCTTCCGTGCAGAGCTGGGCAAATCATCTACCTCCCTCCAGCACAGCTGTGTGAGTGGGATGCCAATTTTCAAAAAAGATGTTTTGCTTAAGGATTCCTTGCCTCCCTCTGTCAGGCAGTGAAGAGCAAATCAGGCGACTCTCACACTCAGCACCCTCAGGTGGGACACACTTAGTTCCTTAAGTCCACTCTGAGGGAAGGAAAGCACCTTTTCCAGAATCGAACTTCGTTTCACACTGTGCCATGAACAGGGCATGACAAAGTGAGGGCCAAACCAGCATCTGTGCCTTTATCGTGACTCAGTGTCATACAGAAACGATACCCTAGAGTCCCTTTGTATACATGCATCTTCACTGCAAACGGGACATACCATAAACCGGGTACACAGGGCACACCATTCACTAAAGGTGGGGTAGTCGAGACACCTTGAAGAGCATTTAGGCGCCCCGCCAGCACACCCTACACCACCTATACCATATACCACCTACACCACACACCACCTACACCACCTACACCACCTACACCACACACCACCTACACCACATACCACCTACACCACATACCATCTATACCAGCTCAAGCCCTAGCCTGACCTGCCGCTCCACAGGAAGTTCAGTTTCCGGAAGAGACACCGCCACCCCAAATCACAGAAGCAAGAGAAGCCTTTCTCTGCACATACTAAGTTGCTTTTATTAATCCAGAACAGCATGCTACAGATACTGTACAGCATGGACATTTATTCATTACAAAAATGGCTTCCAAACCATTCAAAATGAACTCGGAATAAGCATAAAACAGAACAATAACATCACAACTGTTAGGAAACATTCAAAGTATTCACAAAAAAATGTTATAGTTAGCATTTTAATAAACCAGAGAAAACCGGAGACAGTTTTACAATCGCTTCATGTCAACTACGATGGCACTGGAGGAACAGGTCTCAGCTTTATACAGGATTTGACAACATCAGCATGCCTAGGTTCTCCTGTGTTAAGGTCACCGCCTACTCGTATGTAATATGCGTACATAAAAGCGGCAGCTGGTTTTTTTTTCTTTTTTTTCTATTTTTTTTCATTTAAGAGTAATCTAATATACAGAATTTTTGGCCCTTAAGGGTTTAGACCTCTTCATTTAAAATGCTTTCTGGACAGTCTGCTACCAAACACATTTTGTTATAGGTGACATTAAAACTACATACAAATCTATCTATGTAACATCACAGCAAAACATGGCGAACAGAAAGTACAGCATCAGAAAAGAGGGAGAAAGCTAAAGTCACTGAGAGTTTTGGCACATAAAAGTTTTGCACGCGGTCAGTCCATGTTCTAAGAGCACAGGGCAATTGACTAGGAGGTGGGGGGGAAACAGGGCGGTTCCCACGGCTGCTCAGACAGCTGCTCAGATTCTCTCACTACTGTTCAAGTCTTGGTTTACATAATGGCTTTTAAAGCAACTTTTGTTAATGCTACTGATCTTTAATGCAACTATTAATGTCCATTTGGTGGCATCTGGGTTTTATACAGAAACAAACAAAAACAAACAAACAAACAAAAGTCAAAAAAAAAGGAAACAAAAAAATATATACACATTTTATATATAAACTTAAAAACCTTGTACAAATGAGTTGTTATATATAAGATGCTTATGCTAAGGGGGGGTGGGCTTTATACAGTTTCAAAAAAAAGTAAAACATATTTTAAAGGGACGGACGTACAGGTACAAGCAATCTCTAAAGCAATAAATACTACTGGTCCAACAGCGCTGATTCCATTCATTGTTGAGTAGCGTCCCCCTCCCCCCAAAAGAACAACACCATGGAACAAGGTATATTAACACATTTTAACCCTTTGTTTCTGTACATTTAAACAATAACAAGTAACATCACAATAAAAGTTGTTTCACACAGGAAAAAAAAAAGAAAGAAAGAAAAGGAAAGAAATGGCACTGCATTCATTGTGCCCTCGTGGTTTAAAAACCGAGATGTAAAGTGATTGGTTCGCAAGCTCGTATTTAATACAAATAATACAGAACCAACTCCTTCTGGAGGGTGCTTCGAAACGGCTTCTCTCTCTTTTTTTCTTCTTTTTGCTTTTTAATCAGTCTTTTCAAACTAAGCTATCCAAACTACATAACAGTTATGTATATATATATATATTTTAAACGCTACAAAGACTTTAAACAGCTGTTGATAAAAATTTTGGTAGAATCATGAGGTTTCTCTCATCTACATATTTAAAAGGAGAAATTGAAATAAGAATGGGTCAAATATTGACCAATGAACTCGATAAACATCAACTCATGTAAGCCACAGAGGCACAAAATTAAAAGTACAAAACAAAAGCTTTCCAATATGGGGAAGGGCAAACCAAGAACCAGGAGGACACACGTCAATCAAGCAGGGGACAGTGGACGAGGTGTAGCTACTCTAAAGACTTGGTCACCAGAGACAGAGGCTGGGGCTGGGTCCCAGCCAGAGAGTTGTGGGAATGTAAGGAAGATGTTGACGGCTGTGTGAGCGATGAAGAGGGGACCATGGGTGGCTGCAGGGCAGCGGGTGGCAGGTCCAGGGCTCCGTTGGGACAGAGGGTGGAGGCCTTGCCGTGGGCAGCTTCAGCCAGCAGGAGCGCAGGTGGCGGTGGCATCATGGACAGGTGGGCCAGAGGGTCAGGCTTCAGTGACAGCGAGAGTGGCTGTGTCTGCTCAGTCTGTGACTTGGCGTCTTGGGGAGGGGAGCCTAGCAGATGCGGGGATGGGGGAGGCGAGTCTAGTAAGCTTCCATCTGAAGAGGGTGGGCTGACGCAGCTGCCTTCACCTTGTATGTAGCGAACGCACTTTTTTTTTCTCCTAGAAACAGGGGAGAGAGTTACCTGTGAATGAAGGGCAAGGACGCCAAGGTCGAGAGCTAGCTAATGCTCACAAGAAGCTGATGTCACTCAAGGGACGCCCCCTACAGGTCATGCCAGGCAGCACGGAGCAATTAAAGCCGCTACTTCAAGGGGCTCAGGGGGCGGTGTGGCTCCCATGTCTACATCCGCTCTGGCAAAGGAGTTGTCCTACCCATGTTCTACCCTCACAGGACACCCAGGGCCCCACTCCTTCCAAAACATATGTGAGCAGACTAACGGAAGTCAGTGCAGAGGGGCGGCACGGATTCCTTAGGAAGGGTTTTTATCTACATGAAGACTAACACACTTTATTTCTCTTTGGGCTTAGAATTACCTTCCCTTTCCCATTACATCTTCTTGCCTGCCCTCCCGGTTCTTTCCCACCCTCCCCACCCCCAATCTCCAGTGATGCCTGAGTGTATTCAAAAGAGAAAGAAAGGTTCCTCCCCTGTGGCCTCTTATCAATATGAAACTCTCAGAATGCTGACTGCTGAGCCCACATAGCTGAAGGCAGAGCAGGCAAGGGGCTTAAAGGTTTTAACACACCACCACCGTGAGGCAGCAGGTCCCAGAGAGCTTTTGGGCTTGTCTGTTCCGAACCACACCAAATCGAGAGGTCAGAATCAGGTGAGAAGGGAGGGGAGTGGAGGGAGAACAAAACCAAAACAAAACAAACTAAAAAAACAAAACCAACCAAAAAGTAAGTAAATTAAAAAAAAAATAAAGAATAAGAAGAACCACCAAAAAACAGGTAGAAGAGGGTAAACAAAGTAGGGGAAAGGGGAGAGTAAGAAAAACAGAAAATGATTCAAAAGTACGAGAATAACTGGTTGACATGGCCTGCAGGTTGTGGATAAAATTAAGATTCATAGTTTTTTTTTTGATTTTTTTTGATTTTTTTTATTCTCCCCCCTTAAAGATTTGGGACTTCCCTACCCCTTCATGAGAAGGTCGCACGAAGTGAGAATGGTACGCGGGGAGCCTTGTCCTTGTCCTATGCTGAGGTCAGGAAATGGAGTACATAACACAAGCCAGTCACAGAGAAATGGCCACCAAGAAAGGCCGGGAGGGACCTTGGATCAGGGTCTGAACCAGAAAGACTATATCTGTCCTATGCCAAAACCATAGTCTCCCCTCTTCACAACCCATTTGTATAGGAAGGAGGAATGAGAATTTCAGAGCCTTTCTGACTTTATCAAAGGATAAGGTGGGGAAAACCCAATCAAGAACTCAGGCATGTGACTTCAAAGCCTGGCCCACCATTGATTGCTGGCTGATGGGAATCTACTTAGTAGGAAAAGGGACCCTGGAGATCAACCCACTATTGCTATAAAGACAATTCAGACTTGGGAAAGTGCTCATCCAAAGACTCAGAACAATGGTAGGTGGGTCCCGTTCCATCTAAAACCAAGTGTGTGAGCACTGGTCAGTCACTGGTCACTGAAGAACCTCCAAGATGCTGCCTATTTGAAGGCAACCCCCATGGGACACTGTCCCTGGCATTTACAAGGATGGGACGGGACTGTATGAGTCCTTCCTGTGGTCTAGGCCCAGAGCATGGGGCACGGGGCATGGACTCTGTAGGGTGGCAGGAGGGGAGGAAAAGAGGGAAGGGCAAAAAGGGGCATGCTTAGTTCTCCCTGTCTCCCTGAGGCTCAGGCCTTGGGGCTGGGGTTGTCTAGGCCAGAAGGAACTCTAGAGGAACAAGGAGAGTCCCCTCTTACCCTGCCTAGCAGGCTCCCTTTCTCTCTCTGGATAGGACTGGCACAGACTGTGGGTTCTGCTCCCATCCCAGAAATGAAATAAACAATTTAACCTCTCCATTTTAAACCACCTTAGCCTGCAGATCGAAGCATGCTCACAAACTAGGGTCTCCATGCATTTTAAAAACAGGAAGAAAAAAAGAAGGGGAGGGTGGGGAGGGTGTAAGCAAAACAGAGGCAGCAACGGGCAGAAAGGAGGTGGAGGAGAGAAGGGGGAGAGGGAGTGAGGAACAGTCAGAGGAGAGCATGAAGCAGCATGCCAGGCTCTGTTAGGATGGGGCAAGAAGATGGGGAAGCAACTTGGTGGGCTCAAAACAGGGTCTGGTTAAAATGTCCTCAAATGCCAAATAAAATTAGAACCTAGAGTCCTGATTGGCTAGGAGCATTCCTAAGGCTCTCCTCGCCCCTCCCACCCTCCTTTCCAGGTCATTCGAAAATGCTGTGTGGGGAGCATTTGAACAAAGGACAGGGGGACTATGGTGGTGGTGGACTGCCGCGCCCCTAGTGGGGCAGCTGGAATACGCACATCTGGATGGGTCAGAAAATGCCTCCATTCACAAGCCTCTCTCTCTCTCTCTCTCTCTCTTTCTCGTTGATTTTTGTTTTACTTGTTTACTAAATGTCTTATTGAGTTTAGCACCCAGCTCAATGTGGTTTGGCAGTGTATAATGGAACAGCTGGAAAAGGGGAATGGGTAACTCCTAGTTCAAGCTCCATACTGTGACCCACCCCATTGTAGAGGCATCTCATAAGCACCCATGTGTAGCTTTCTAAGTATGTTTCCTGGTCCTATTTTGGAAGGTCCTCCTCAAATGGACAGCAGAAGTCAGCTTGCTAACACATCTAGAGCACACCCCCCCCCCCGCCGCCGCCAAAAAAACCCCTCAAACTCAGAAAAATGGCAGCTAGAACTTTCTAGGGGCCGAGGTCAGGAGGCTGGGGAGTGACAGGGGCCTGCTGGACTTCATGACCTCTGTCCAGGGATGTCTCAGTCTCTTTGACAATAGAAAAAGTGGTGCATTGTGGATAGTCAGCCCCCAATGTGTGTTTTAGAGAACCAAGGCGCTGAAGGACAAAGAGACTACAAGGGTTTAAAACTGGCAAAACAAGATAAAAACCCAATTTAAAAAGTTATTGTTGTTGGTGGTAAAAGTATCAAGAAATTTCTGGTGAGAGGATGGAACCCACCACGGATTTACGCGAAGATGGGTTGTATTTGAGGACCGGGGGAGGGGTGGGTGCTCTATCCTTGTTAACGTCAGTAACAGTTTCTAAAGATGAAGACCAGGCTAAGTTTGTAGCAACTGATCTGAAACCAAAAAAGGTTCGTAAATAAACCATTCAGGAATAAAATTATGAGGTCCAGTCTCACTGCAGGGCACAGGCAATGGTGTCTATTGGGACTTGCTATGACAGGGTATTCCGCTGTCTTACCCTGGGCATTCATAAAGTGTTAACCAACTTATTACCTGCAGAGGGTAAGCAGGTCCCTGACCTCCCTGGCTCACCCTAATTTAATACCTAACATCCCCATGCTTCTCAGGAAGTCCCTGGGGCTGCTCTGTAAGACCTGCCGTCTTTGAAGGTTGTCCACTCACAGGAAGCCGCTCTCCTGCTGGGTGCCTGTCTAGGGCCCAATTCCCTTACTCTGGAGCACAGAGAATCTGTGTAGCTGTCTGTCAGTGATGATCCCTCTCTCCCCTGGGGTCTTGTGTGGTCAGCCATCTCTCATACTGGCACCAGAGAAGACACAGCAGACTCGTGGGCATGCACGTGATGGGATGAACATCTGATCTAACGTCTAGACACGGAGCACGGCAAAAGGGGATGGAGAAGAGGGACACGTGACGCAGGAGGCACTACAAACAGGGATGTGTGTTTGGGGTGTTGAGATACCTACCATCATAATATTCCAAATTCAAAGACTGCTTGTATCAGAACAAAGAAATAACAAATTTAACCAAAGGTGGTCATTAAAAGGAAAGGAAAGGAGATGGGTACGAGAGCGCATTCCCTCCACCAAGAAGGAAGTACCTACACCTTCTCTGCCAGTGCCATGACTGGGGAAACCTGCAGGCAGATCATGGGGCTCAATTTGGACTCTTCTGGACTGATTGGATGCGTGTGGGAACCCACGCTACACCTGCACATCGTAACGCTCGACTGTGTGCTCTGCAGGCCTGGCAGCGCTGCAGGGTCTGGCTGCAGCCCTTGCTGCGCACAGGCTCTTAGCTGGTGCACGCCATTCAATGCCACGCTTCTTTTTCAGCACTGTAAAACAATGTCCGCTAACGAGCTCCTCCATACAGATACGTGTTTTAAACATAAAACAACTAAAGAGGGGCGGGGGAGAGAGAGAGTGAGAGAGAGAGAAAGAAAAAAAAGGGATTTCAAAAAAGCAGCCTGCCCCAATGCACTTCTCTCAGCGTCTTTAACAGAATGCTACCTGGGAATGCTACCATTGCCAAATTCCAGTTCTGACTCTTTAACACCTGTGAGAAGGGTGGGGGACGGCACGGTGGCTCAGAACGGGGCACCGAGTCATTCACCAGCTGGCCAGTTCCAGGACACCAGCTTTCAAAGCCAGATCCTCAGTGTCTGTCCTCATGGCTGTCAGCCCTTGCTACCAGGGACACATTCTTCGCAAGAACAGGGAGGAAAAGGGGGTGGGGAGGAAACAGTATGAAATTAGCAAGGAAAATCTGAAGAAGGAGAGTTTATTAGTCATTGATGCCAGTGGGGGAAAGGAAACGTGAATGAGGGCAAAATAAATCGACCCACTAAGTAGCGGAAGGACAGAAGGCTCTGATTGTCCCCAAGGCCTCGGAATGGTCATGTACCTGCAGGGTTTGCACCATAAAGTCTGTCGGTCAAGCCCGAACAGTGCCCGACACTTCTTTGGAGTATTTGCATCTGTTAGCATAAGGTAAACACAAAAAAACACAACACAATGGTGGGTCGTGCTTGGTTGGCTGAGTCTTCCACTAACTGCTCTCTGCACCATCTTGACTCTACCTGACAATCGGCCCTCATCAAGGGTTTGAAAGAAAGGGGCTTCTCTGAGCCAAACCAAAAAAAAATAAAACAAACAAAACAATAAAACACACACACACACACTACACACACACGCACAAAGGAAAACAACAACCAGAAACAAAAACAAAAATGAAAAAACAAAACAAAAAAAAACCAACAATGAAAAATAAATAAAAAGAGAGAGAGAGAAGAGGAAGGGAGAGGGTGACGTCATTGGCTTCTACCTAGACCAGGATGAGCACATCCTGGGCTATCACAAGGAAGGGGGTTGGCAGGCAACATTCCCCAGTCGAGGGCACGCTGGAATCTGAGTCTCGGCCCTGAGGAGGCACACACACTGTTTTACAGTGGCATTTTGGCTAGCAGCAGCTGGCAGACAAGCACATCCCTCGTGGAGCCCACACACTGGCAGTGTCCCGCTCCCTGGTATTTCCTACAATCCACACACAAAGCTACAAAGCAACAGGCCAGAGGGGGAAGAACAGGAGAGACAGCGGCAAACCAGCACAGCGGATCTGGGAGACTATACACACCTGCAGGGGCCGCACCAGTTATTCTGTTGATCAAGGCCAAAGCGCGCTCGGCATTTCTTAGGAGCGCTCAGGTCTGAATGAGTTCAAGAAAGGAGCGAGCAGAGGAGGACATGGGAGGCAGGGAGAGAGGAGGAGAGAGAGAGGAGTAAGAGAGAGAGAGAAGGGAAAGGGAGGGGGGAGAGAGATACAAACAAGAAAAAAATAAAAATAAAAAGGGAATAAATCAATGACCGGGTTACTAATAGCAAAATATTGACTTTTCTTTCTTTTTTTAAAAACTTTCTTTAATTAAAAAAAATGTAAAAATCACACTTATTCAACTTGTGAAATTAGCTGTGGCAAATAAAGCTGCAGTATCCCTTATCAAGGACGGTCAGATCCGGTTCCAGCTGCCCGCAGGACGGCAGGAGCCAAGAACTTTCTCTTTCCATTATTTCTCCTCTTTTACTTTAGTTCTGTTTTTTGTTTTTTTTCTTTTTTTAAATTCTCTCAATTTTCCTTTTTCTCAAAGAAGAAAACAAAGCAAAGGAAGGAATTAGGTTTGTAACATGCTTTTTTCTTCTGAGTACCACAGTTTTGGAAAGAAAACAAACAAACAAACAAAAAAACTACAAATGAACACAGAACGAAATGAAATGAAACAGAAAGAAAAAGAAAGAAAAGGGTTGTGGGTATTGGGATATTGCAGCTTTTGGGCATTCTCTTTTTTTAAAAAAATCTATTTTCATTGTTATTAAGAGGAAAGAAAGGGTAAAGAGGCCATGAGATGAGTTGTTAGGTGTTAGATGCTCCTAACGGGCATGGAAGCAGGCATGGTCAGGAAGCACTAGCAGGTTTGCAAATGATGAAGTCAAAAAGCAAAAGGAAGAGCAAGCAAACAAACAAACAAATGAAAAAAATAAATAATAAAGCAAAGGAAAAAATAATCATACTGCAATTGCATGCTGGCGTGAGAAAACTTAGTGGGGCAACGGAAAAAGCCATTAGATTAAGGAGGTTTATTACTGAATTTTTTTCCATTTTTTTCTTTACCAGTCTCTTTTAAAGAAATACTGCATATTCAATTTGCACAGTTAGTTCAGCTCTAAGCCACTGTCATCGCTGCTTAAACAACGGTTATGGGAACAGTCAATAAATGAGACAGAAGTTAAAATAAAAAATAAATAAAACCAACAAAGCAACTGGAAAAAAATCTACTGAAACATAATGAAACCGTGTAGATGATCATTTTAAAGGATGTTCAAATGTCATACGTGTTTAATGTTAATAAAACTACAAATGGCAGGAAAAATGAAAAAACAGTTTATCAACTATTTTAATGACTCAAAAGGACATTAGCACCTGTGATCGGAGGAAGTGAAAGGCAAGGATTTAGGAAACATTCGCTGTGTTCTGAAAAAAAAGAACAAATTACACAAAGTCTTCAAAATTTTTGTTTGTCTGTAAAGCCTGGCCTTCTCCAAGGGCCCTTCATTGCCTATGCAGTATTTCTAGTTTCTGTCGCTGAATGGCAAACCTCCTTAATTTAAAATGGGCACGATTACCACTGTAAAGGCATGCATTGGAACACTCAGGAACAGCCAGTTACCCCAACACTCACACACGCCCCTCCTGGTCCCCTAGGCCCCTCCTCATCCCTTCTCAGGCACATACATAAGCAGGCTGTCCAAAGCCCGGCAGAGGCATGCCTACCGTGGACTCTCTAGTTACAGGCTTGGCAGTTACTTAAAAACACATTCCGCCAGGATTACAACGGGCTTTTCATGCAACAATGGATGTTACTAGCTTTAAAAGGGCAGTCATGAAGCAATTAATTAAAACACATAAACAAAAAAGGCTCCCTAAGATGGGTTCCCCACAATGTCCTGGCCTTGGATTCCTCCTGCCTCCCCCAGACGGAAGCTGACGTAAGAGTGGCCCCCCAACTAGTGTTTCTTCCATCACCCTGACCATTGTCACTCACCATTGGTCTCACCCGGCTGCTTGTCCCTTTTCCTCTTCTTCTTCTTCCCCTAGATGAACAGAAGAAACGCAGGAAATTAGGTCAAGGAGGGAGGTGTCTGGATTCGCATGTCAGGAGAGCCGAGAGGGACAAGCTTGCAATCTCCACTAATCTCCCAAGTCTATTCAATCTGTCAGTCATGAATTCAGCCCTTGAACTCTGCCTACCTCGGAGGACACACATTTCTTGGGGAAAAGAGAAGGCCAGAGGGTCGATGTGGAAAGACCTCATGGCCTTCTCCCTTCTTCAGCCTGATCCAGGATGTCTGACTCCATAAAGGGAGGTGAAAGGAGCAAGGGAGATTCCGGGAGGAATGGAGAGCAGGGTGGGCAGCAGGATGGACACACTCCCAAGGGGCACAGAGAAACCTCGAAGCCCATAGTGGTTCCCAGCTGCCCTACCTGCCTCACAGCCTCTCATTATGAAAGACAAACCATCCCCGCTTCCATGTCCTGGGTTGAGAGAGGAACGGCCCTAGCTTCTCTGTAGTAGCGGTTCCTTTCAGAAACGTAACGCAGTCCTTCCTCTCAAAGGAGCATAAGGAGTGGGAATGAAGAGAGGGCCAAGTGCTACCTGGGCTTCTGTCTAAATTACAGGGTGGCCATGCATAGGCAAGGGAAAGTGTTCCCCCATGCTCTTACCCCAACAAATACATCACTGGTCACAGAGACCATAACTCAAGTGCGTGTGCTATGCCCAGCTCTCAGGTCACCACAGCCTAGTCAGACCACTTCAAACACACACAGGGTAGCCTACAGGTGGGCAAAGTCATCCACCATGGAGCCTGCCTTCTCGAAAGGTGTTGAATGGCTTGTGCCAATGACTGCACACTTTCTTACACATGGAAAGTAGACCGGTTGTATGGCATGCTTCCATGACACCATGAAGTTGAGAAAGTGCAAGTCAAACCCCGGCAAACCAGGAGCCATTAGAATGGCTGGCTCCTAACCGGTATTAAAGTTTCACAGTATTAACCTGTTATAAGGTTAGCTTGTCATGACACTCACTCCTAACATTAACCATGGCCAGCATCTGCCAAGTACACATTAGGAGCCAGGCATGACTCAACTGGCAAGAGCTCTACACAGTACATGTGTCTTCACACTCCGGAGTCATGAATGAGGAAACAGGTACAAAGAGGCTGGGCAACGGCCTTGAGTTGGCACAGCTACGATGAGGAGGAGCCAGAGAGCCAACCCAAGTGGCCTGAAAGCATTGCCCTCGGCTGTGGACCATGCCTTCTACCGAGTACTGTCTGTCACCCTCCGTAGCAGCCCTTCTTTGAAACAAGGGTGAGGAGACGGCCTTAAGTCATTACCACCTGACAGCCTGACCCTCTCAAGTGAGCGAGCAAGACTCTGGGGCACCCTGCCCTATTGCTGGGCTCTAGGGAGGCTCTCTGGCCCAGGTGAGGCAGCTGCGGTCTTACAAATCAATCTGTGTGCTTCAGAATACGTAAATGTTGTCACCTTTGCTTAAAGGTTTCATGGAACAGTGACCTCGACACCAAAAAAAAAAAAAAAAAAAAAAAAAAAAGGGCAAGGATGTTATGCGTAACAGCCCCAAGGCTGTCAGGCTTGGGTGACTCCAGCTATCCCAGAGAGGGCTGCTCTATCCTCTGAGGGTACGGGGTCTGGGTCACTGGGAACATTAGCCCTCTATGCAGCTATACACCAGATCCTTTTATGTTTCTTGGCACAAAAGAAAAAACAATGAAAGCAGGTCATGTGACACTCTCAGAGTGGGCAGGATGAGCCGGAAGAAAGACTCAGGAGAAGTAGTCTAACCTGAAGGTGCCTGTGTTGCCCCCCGACACACTCTAGGGCCATCTGATGGTCCCTACAGAATCCTCTGTGTGCACTGACACCTGGAATGCAGGTCACGTCATGGCCAAGCAAGGAACCATGCAGACAGACTACTAGATCCTGGTGGACAGGGATGATGTTTAATGGGAAGAAGACATAAAGAGACAAGGGGAGACCACTTCCTCTTTAAAGGTAACAAGAAAAAGAAAAGGCATAAGACATGAGAGTGAGGGAAAAAAGTCAAGTGACAGAGACGACCTTTAATAAGAGAAGGAAGGAACGGTCTACTATGACACCAGGTCAACTAGCTGTTACTATGGTACCCAGCTAGCTTCTCCTGGGTCCCAAAGAACAGGTCAAGTCTGAGCAGCCAGACGGGTTTCCCTCCAATACACTTCCCTAAGATGGTGACATAAAGGCTCCAAGCCCCACTTGGCTAGAAAAGCAGGAAGGGATGGTTCAGAACACATCTCCCAAGAGAATCTTCTGGGCTTTGCAGCAGCCAGAGCTATCTACAGAACCTCCACTGTCAAGTTGATTAAAAAGGATTGCTAAGAAATTCCCACCAAGGTCAAACTCACAAAAGCTGCAGGTGTGAGATCCCTGGCCCCAGTGTATTCTCTGGAGTGTGGAAGGAAGGAATGAGCATGCATTTCCACACGTGTGTAAGGAAACATTGAAACAGGAACCTGAGAGCCTGTGCCCAAGAGGCTAAGTTCCTGCAGTCTGACATCCAATCCGCCCCTAAGCCAGCCCCTCACCTACTCAGTGGCTCCTTATTGGCCAAGCTACCTCCTAACGCAGAGTGGAAGTCAGGGCAAGTGGCATGCGGACCATGAAAATTCTAGAAAGTACATCACAGAATGCCTAGAACGGTGTCTAAATGACTCCCGGCAAGTCAAACATAGAATGTTTCTGACTCTGCCATCAAGTCTGCTGTGCTTTTGTGTTCCTCCTGTGCAACCCCAAAGGGCACCATCTGTCCTGTGGCCCATGGTCCACAAATTGGGCAGTTTTTATGTGAAGGCCCTGTGAAGGCAGGTGCCTAGGAGGCCTTGGGATATGGTAGCTATTGGAGAAACTGGATCCTGTCCTGGGATACCTTCTCGACGACTCCAGGATGGCAAGTGTAACAAGCCAGAGCTCCCAGGCGTCAAGGGCACAGCTGTCCTGAGGTGATGTGGTTGAATATGTACAGGAGGGTGCCTAGCCCTGGAGTGTCACCTGGGAATGGGTTGGGGACACAGAGAGCCCGTGGGAGAGCCCAGCTGCTCATCTCTTCCCTTCAGTCTCAGAAGAAAGGTGTCCTAGCTGCACACACAAAGACAAGCAGCAAAGTCTCACATAGCTAAGAGTTCATGATACTTGTCTGCTAGTGACAATGGCTGCTCTCAAGAGCGGAAGTGCTGTCTAGGCCTGAAGGGCCATGCATGGATAGGAGCATTGCTATGAAGCCCAGGCCAGGCTCTTTGTCTACCTGATGGATAGCGGGCGAGCCAGCTCCACTCTTACAGGTATGAGGCAAAAGAGTGAAGGAAATCCAAAGAGCTAGCCCTTGGAAAGATGATACTAATGGACTGGAGACATCCTCCCAGCTTCTCCACTGGCACCACCAGGAAAATACCCTCCTGGCTCCAAGAGAGAAGAGGAAAAGAAGCCTGTGCTGGCAGCAAGGCAGGTTTGATTTTGACATCAGAGTGGTTGGAAGAGACATTCCCTGAGACCAAACGTGATGCAACAAAGAGACTAAGCAAGAGACATGCTACCTATCCGGACAGGGAAGAGGCCCAGAACTCAGAGCTGCTGTGTAAAACACAGGATCAGGACTAATGGGAGAGACACCAGGGCTCCAGAACTGGAAATCTGCTGTGTGCCATCAGCGCAGGTAGTAACAACAACAGTCCTACTAAGAGGAAGTTTAAGAAGCAAGGCAGAAAATTGAGCAAATCTGGATTTGCCAATAGAACCCAGAAGCACACACATCATGTGATAGATGTGTCTTGAGACACACATCCTTCCCCACCTCTGTGGGACCCAGACTCATTTCATCTTCCCTACCAAAAGATGGCTACTTTCATGCCATTCTCCCATCATGCCGTTCTCAGGGCGAAACAGGCCCCCATGACAGCCTGGCCACAAATAGCTACCCCACCAATGGCAGGGGCTTAATTTGGAATGCAGTACTTTTGAATGTGTTTTGGAGCTCTACTTTTCCTAACAGGTGGGTGGAAAGACACAGACACCCCAAATCAGTCTCCAGGATCCTGTGTTCTGGGAACACAGGTGCCAGCTTCCTGCCTGTCTCCTGCTAATATAATAGAGTCACAATGAAAGCCAAGCTCGCTGACCGGAGGTCAGGGACAGGTCCTAGAAGTAGACAGAATGAATGGTCTGGAAGCCCGGTTCAAGCAGGCAATAACCCATCCTTCAGGTTCTTGCAGACATACAATATATATCCACAAAAACTGAATTCTCCAGAAAGTGGGCCACGTACATAGTTATCCCGCGCAGACCAGCCAGGGTACAGCTGCATGTGAAGCTGTCGTTCCTTCCGGGCCAGCTCGTAGTACTTCGCTTGCTCTTCCCTGGACAGGGCGTGCCACTGCAGAGAACACGGGGCAGGGAGAGAAAGACAGGCAGAAACATCACAAACGGAAGCACGGCGATAAACGAGACACGATGCTACCAGGGCTTGAGTCTATCCAGACGCGGTAGAGCGTGCAGATAGTGATGCTTGCTGGGGCCTCACACTAACAATGGTACCCAGAGAAACCACGTCTGTCCTCACAGGAAGATGAGGGATGTGGCTATCCTAAATGCTGCTCAAAAGCTCAATGATCTTGATCAGTGGAAGCCAGACAAGGACTCAAAGAGGCAGGGTTGGGGCCATGCTTGACAGAGCAAGGTCAAACAAAACCTGTCACTGTTTCTGGTCCACTCCGGTTCTTCCCATGGACGGCCACCTACCCTGCGCCCGAGGATCTGGTTAATAGCTGCACTTTCCTTCAGTGTGCACTCGGCCACCACCTTCGCTCTCATTTCCTTCATATACAACATGAACGCGTTGAGGGGCTTCTTTATGTGGGGCTTTTTCTTTTCTTCTTCCTTTTTGGAGTCCTGATGCTTTCTGGATAGAGACAGAAGGAGATGGGCAGACGCCATCCAGTAAGCGACTATGCAGGCAGCGTCCCCCAAAGCAGAGCCTGTGCTCCTTTCTCTTCCCACCCAAGCCCAGCAGTTTCAAGTAAAAAAAAAAAAAAGTTCATTTCCACCCCAGAGCACGGTCCAGGAGCAGTTGGAGGAGGCCTGGCTGGTGAGAGATTCTGAGATCGCTTCCTCTCCATTTGCAAACAGACATTTTCCCAGGGAAGAGGGGGAAAGCACAGGGTGGCCAACCCCACTTCCCAGGGTTCTGTTCTGTTTGCTGAACAAAGCTCCAAATGCAATCCCCTGTCTCTTCAAACACACACCATGGAGATCTCTGTTCCGGGAAGCAGTGTGACAATCAGTGTGACCTGCTAGAGAGCATGTTCTCCTTTATAGGAAGCCAGAGGCCATAGGGACGGGGTGCTGCCGAGGGTCCAGCAGGAGATGCTGACCGTGGCCAGAAAGCCACCAAGCAGCGGCCACCATGGCAACGCATCACCCAGGCCACAGAGCGTGGAAACAGCAACTGTAACACTTACGAGCTATGAAGCGAGCCGACGTCACTCTGTGAGGATTCCTGCTTGACTGTTGGTGTGACGATGGCCGGATGGGGGATGCCGGTCGTGTGAAGAGTGTGATGGGGAGGGACCATGTGGGGAGGGAACCTAGAAGACAGAAAGCTGTGTAAATCGTCAGAATCAAATGAATGAACGAGGAGGGATGTGTACACACAATTAAAAAAAAAAAAGCGCAGTAGCATCCACATGAAAGCAACCCAAGGCATATGAAACCTGTCAGCATTAATTAGTGATAAATTAAACATAATGATTCTCATAATGTCATTAAAGTCGATCTGCCCCTTCATTATTGCTACTGACATGAGACATTATGATTTTTAACATCTTTAGCAAAAGACAAATTCTACTGATGTACTTGGGCAGGAAAGTGGGCTTGGACGGCCGGCCAGAAATTGCACGTCCGCTTGGTTTCTGAGGCATGAGCTGCGGCCTCTCAGAAGGTAATTTCCTACGCCCTACTCAGCTCCAGAAGGACAGGTGATAACGTCTGTGTGTACTGACAGCTAAATAAAATATTAACGCGGCTGAAACGGATGTACATGTCTTGACAATGCGCTGCATGCCTCGTTAGGCCTCATTCTGGTGATGGAGAGCAATCAAATTTTCATTTTCTCTTTTGTTGCTGTGCCCACTATTTGAGAGTAATAGGAGAGAGTGAGGCAGAGAGAGAGAGATTCCGAGAGTTCCTGCTCACCCTAAGTCACGGCATTTTGAATACATTTTTGAAAGAAAAATGGGGAAATACACACACACACACACACACACACCAAAGCACTGAATTCTGATTTGTATGCCTTTCTCCGCTAAGATTCTTATTTTTACTTAATATGTTATCTGTGCATCATCCAGAATCCTTGTAAATGACAGACACTGTAATCACAGATAAGACATTAACGGTCCTTGCTTCTGGGAAAGTCCCCAGAATACACTTCAGTTCTTCAACCGGTGTTTCCCGACATAAGAGTTTGCCAGTATAATACAAACGCTAATTTCAGCTACATAAGACAAATGGCTGCCAAATGACATGTTTTGTTTGTGCTGGTGGGAAAACACCTCCTTGACTGAAGTCACACACAGTGATTAGAGAAAGGGCAAAGGAGGAAAGAACAGACTGCTCAAATGGGGTGAAGGAGAAGTTGGACACAGGCAATGGCTGCCCTTCTGATAAGGCCAAACCAGAAGAGGACAAGTGCCACCCAGGGACCAGCGTGGGCCAGCATCCTGCTCTTGAGAAAGTGAGTTCTGGCAGAGAGGGGTCTTGCTGAGGCTACATCGTGACAATTATTTCAAAGGGGTCTTGTATTTGTTTACAGAGTTCCTTTCATAAGTGGATCGGAAAAATAAATTATAACAAATGGGATTAAAAAATAGAGAACGAACAGGCTCAGTACATCTTAACAGAGATGAAAATACCCAATGAAGGATGTTGATCTTTTCAGAGGTCCCAGAGCCATTGTAGTTACCTGGCTGAGAAACCCCGCCCTCTACTGTGACAGCCTTTGCAAACTAAGGCAATGCTGGCTTTCGGAAACAATGAGATGCTTTAACAGTAGTCAGAGTGACTGTGTGTGTGTGTGTGTGTGT